GGGGGGGGAGAACTTATGATTTATGGCTTGATGAATAGACAGGATAGATCACAGAAAAAAGAGTTATATTGTAACAATAAAGTAACAGATAAATTTATAATTGTATTTATAACCGCTGTAAAGAAGACCAAAAGATACTTTGTTGTGTTTTTTCTTTTCTGTTTTTCTTGCACTTTTTCTTGCACTATTAGCTGGAGACATCTTGGCTGTTTTTGGACCTTCTTGCTTCCCCATCCTCTTCTTAGTATTTTTCCCCCCAACAATATTCCAAATATTGTAAAGCAGTTGTGTGAAAGGGCTCAGAATGCTGGCTGGCTGTCAACAGGATAATGCTTCTAAAATTGAACAGACAAGGACTAAATTAAATTAAATTAACTAATTATTAATTAATTAAATTAAACAGACCAGGACGCGGGGTGACGTGATAGCCAATCTCTGAGGGGCTGCCACAAAGAAGATGGGGTCAACCTATTGTCCAAAGCCCCTGAAGGCAGGACAAGAAACAATGGATGAAAACTAATCATGGAGAGAAGCAACCTGGAATTAAGGAGGAATTTCTTGACAGTGAGAACCATTAACCAGTGGAATGGCTTACTTGCAGAAGTTGTGGGGGCTCCATCACTGGAGGCTTTTAAGAAGAGACTGGACAGCCACTGGTCTGGAATGGTCTAGGGTCGCCTGCTTGAGCAGGAGGTTGGACGAGAACACTGGAAGACCTTCCAAGGCTGTTATTCTGTGTTCTAAATTATCTCTATGGGGAGAAGCAGGCAGGTGAACTTTAAAAGTGGGCCCCATCCAACCACAGCTGCCAAGAAGGCAAAAATCAAGACATTGCACCCCAATGAGAAAGGGAACTGAGCCAGTGCTGGAAATGTAGATACAGATAATCAGAGTTGGAAGGGACCTTGTACCCCCTGCCCAAACAGGAGACCCTACACCAATTTCTGACCAATGGCAGTCCAGTCTCTTCTTGAAAGCCTCCAGGGATGAAGCTCCCACAACTTCTGAAGGAAACTTCTGTTCCATCAGTTGATTGTTCTCACTGTCAAAAAGTTTTCTCCTTATTTCCAGGTTGAATCTTTGTTCAGTTTCCATCCATTATTCCTTGTCTGGCCTTCAGTTGCTTTAGAAAATAGCCTGACCCCTTCCTCCTCTCTGTGGCAGCCCCTCAAATATTGGAAGACTGCTCTCCTGTCTCCCCTGGTCCTTCTCTTCACTAGACTAGCCATGCTCAGTTCCTGCAACCGTTCATGGTTCATCATATGTTTTAGTCTCCAGTCCCCTAATCTTAACAAATTAACAGAGTTGGAAAGGACCTTGTAGGTCATCTAGCCCAACTCTCCACCCAAGCAGGAGACCCTACACCATTTCTGACAGATGGCAGTCCAGTCTCTTCTTGAAAGCCTCCAGGGAGGAAACTTCTACAACTTCCGAAAGCAGCTTCTGTTCCATGGGTGGATTGTTCTCCCTGTCAGAAAATTCCTCCTTATTTCCAGGTTGAATCTCTCTTTGTTCAGTTTCCATCCATTATTCCTTGTCTGGCCTTCAGGTGCCTTGGAAAACAGATCGAGTTCTCCAGTCTGTGACCCCCTCCCCCCAACCCCACCTCTTCCTTCCTGGCCATGTGATCCAGAGCAGAATTTCAAATCCAACCTGATGAACAGTTTTGGAGGACTCCAAAGCTGGTACCTTCTGTCATACTTTGCAGCTGTGGATCTTGAATCTTTTTTTTTTTAATGGATCAGCAGGGGACTACCAGGAATTGTGGTTTCTGACCAGCTTCCTAGAAGGAATGCTTGGTGGGGTGGATTCCCAGATGTAGACCAGCAACCTTTGCTGCCTGGGTATCCCTCCAGGCATTAAATTGTCAACATGAGAGCTTCTAAGCCTAGTCTACTGAAAATGGGAAAATGGGACTTGGAACCACCTGGTATACCTGGCTTTGCAGAGGTGAATCCCTGTGGCCGAGAACCCAGGCAAGAATTTGGACCAGCCTGGGATGACACCCAGAGATATCCTGTCTCCCCTTCCCATCAAGCATCAATGCTGAGGTGCAAACTGGGAGGGGCTGCCAAAGGGATTTGGCAATTGGTGCAGTGATGGGAGGATGCCAAACATCTGGAATGGACAGGGGCAACTTCTGCCTTTCAAACACTTAGCTCTGTTGCAGATCTTTGTGGAAATAATGCCTCAGGCTTGGACGTTGCTTCAGGAAGCTGGGTAGAAGGAAGATCTCTCCCTCCAGGGAGTCCCAGAACTGGATGTTTCTTCGGCTCTAGAGGTGATATTGTTACAGAATGTAAAGAACTCCAGTTCTTTTATTCCCTTGGGTCACCTTTCGTTCCAGACCCTCAGAGCATGCAGCAGGTTTAATGTCCTAAATATGCAATATCTCCGTTTCCTGGAGGGAGAAGACATAACCGTATGCATATAGAAGCAAGCAGAGGGGAGGGGATGGAGATCCGGCAACAGGATTTGTCACCTGTCCTATTGGCATATGCAGCAAAGGAAACTCCCGGGACATCGTTTTACCAAGAATCTAACTTTACTGATAGATCCAGGACTCTTCAATATCTTCATTAACGACTTAGATGAGGGAATAGAAGGGGAACTTAACAAATTTGCAGATGATACTAAGCTGGCAGGAATAGCCAACACCTAGAAGATAGGCTCAGGATCCAGATGGATCTTGACAGACTTCAACACTGGGCCATATCTAACAAAATGAAATTCAGTGTAGAGGAAAGTAAAGTCCTACACTTAGGCAAGAAAGACCAAAAGGACACCTATAGACTGGGTGAAACCAGGCTTAATAGCAGTGACTGAGAGGGATCTCGGAATCTTAGTGGACAACCAGCTAAATAGGAACCAACAGTGTGTGGCGGCAGCCAAAAAAGCCACACAATCATAAGTTGCATTAACAGAGGGATACAATCATCATCCATATAGGGACAGTAAAAGCAAAGCCAATTCTGAAGTTTTTGTGTGAAAAGCTGCAACGTTTTTTAAAAAACCCTTTCCCCCCCCAGGTCACCCGCTGTCCAGTGTCTGTCCACCAATCCAGTGCAATCTCTTCGTTTTGGGAAAGAGTGTGAGGGATGATGAAGTGATTGAGAACGAGTGAATGCCCCCTTCTTCTTTTGACAGTCCTTGGCAGTCTTTAAGGCTTTCGCCTCCTCTAAAACCTGAGGCGAGTCTAAAGGGTTGTAACTTCAGCAATTCATTAAACAAATGGTCGTAAGTGGAGGGCTACCCGATTGTGCTTGTGCTTCTTTTGGAAAAGTTCACTTTTTTTCTTTCTTTCTTGGAATTTAGATTTTTGAAATTTTGGTGGTGGTGGTAAGCCTGTCGGGTGGGAGGCATTGAAAAGAGAATGAAAATATTGATAGCACAGGGCTGTAATTACAAGCAGAATTTGCTGGTGGAAGGCCATAATAAAATTGATTGATTGATTGATTGGGTTATAAGCTAATAACACTACAGCTTGATTAAAAGCATGCATCTCCTCTGAAACTGGAAAGACTGGGGACCAATCGCAACTCCTAAGGGAAGACCTTTGCAAGGTATCTTCAGAAGGGCCTCTTGCTGTAGAACTCCACCTCTGAGCAACTTTGTAATAAGACATGGTCCCTCAGGGAGACAACCTTAAATAACGGAGGACTTTTAAGGTTACAATGGAAATCTTGAGTGATAGAATTCCAAAATGGAAAGAGGCAGCACTCATTGTGCAGTCCAAATCAGGGGTCGCCAACCGGTGGGCCGGGGGACTGGTGGTCCGTGAGAAAATGTTGGTGGTCCGCAGTGAAATGTCCCTCCCCAAGCACTCCCAGGCTGTGCGGGAACCCAAGGCTGTGCCGTCCACATTGCCCGTCCACCCACTGGCCCCCACCCTTCGGCCGAGCACAAACCTTACCTTGAGTAGAGCCACGCGAGGTGGAACTGGAAGGTGAGACCAACAGCGGGGGAGGGAAATCCGCCCCATGGTGGCTTGCTGAGATTGGGAATGTCGGTCCCATATTCCAGAGCTGCAGTAGTCACAGGAGTGGCCTTTTGGTGATCCCGGAGCAGCTCCTCCAGTCCATAGCAGGCCGGTGCACCCGGGTGGAGGAGCAGCTGCTCCAGGATGACCAAAGGGCCAGTCCTGTGAATACTGCAGCTCTGGAATATGGGACCGACTTTCCCACCAACATCAGCAAGCCACCGTCAGTCAAAATTCATATTAGGGGTCCGCGGGATTTAAAATTATGAGTTTGGTGGTCCCTGAGGTCCAAAAGGTTGGCGACCCCTGGTCTAAATGAAAGCTTGTCCAACAAATAAATAGACATCTGCCTTCTGGTTGAATGTAGAACATCAACAGAAGAAGGCTTCTACCACTTCGTATAACTTTGGGTAACCATGATCAAACTACTGTTCTTGTTAGGAATTCCAGAAAATAACTGAGGATCGGTGCAAACTATTCCATATACAACTGCTAGGTTCTTGAATCGGTAGACTGGTTTGTTTTTGGATGCAACTGAGATACCCACTTGAATTGAACTGCAGCCTTTCTTCATAGATACAAAGACTGAATTGAAAAGAATCAACTGAAGAGAAAAAGTTCTGGACTCCAAAGCTAAATGTTTATGGAGATTCTCAGTCATCCAGGTTACAGTTGTCCCAAAGGTGCTTTTTCAAGAGGCAGCTGGACTTTTGTTTTTCCTTGAAGACGTTTTGGTTCTTATCCAAGAAGCTTCTTCAATTCTGCTGAAGAAGCTTCTTGGATGAGAAGCAAAACGTCTTCAAGCAAAAACAAAGAAAGTCCAGCTGCCTCTTGAAAAAAGCATCCTTGGGACTCCGAGGCTATTTCTGAGACCCATTATACATAGAACTGTGTGCTCTGGAATCTGGGAAGCCTGTTGTCCTATCATAGATTGAAGTTGCCAGCCACAAAAATGGATTGAATTGGTTCCTAGGAAGTAGGTGTCTCCCCTGAATCATTTCTCCTACGCTTTTTCTTCCAGACATGCACAAAGACGCCAAACTCCACCACTTCAGAAGCCTCAGGTCCTGTCATGTCCGGGAAACTTAAATTTGCATCTATCAATGGAGATAAGGTAAGAGACTTGATGGAAAGACAAAGGGGAATTCTGTTGACAATTGAAAGCCAAGCTGCAAAACCTGTTAACATGATCTCAGGGTGTGGGAAAGATTAAAGTGGCAAGGGAGAAAAAAGATTCAATAATTTCCTTTCTGCTTCATTCCTCCATGTCAGATTTAAAAGGGCTCCCTGGCTTTTGCCGTTTTACCCTGGACCTTTAGTTAGACACCCTCATTTTAGGGTGGACAAAGATGTTCAGCTGATTTCCCTCAAGCTCTCATGTTTAGGGCAGTGTTCCATAAGGTAAGAAAACATTTATAGCAATATGTCTATGGAGATTCTCAGTCCTCCAGGTCATGGTTGTCCCAAAGGACCTTTTTCAGGAGGCAACTGGACTTTCTGGTTTTTCTTTGAAGACATTTCGCTTCTCAACCAAGAAGCTTCTTCAGCTCTGAAGAAGCTTCATGGATGAAGAAACTGAAGGAGAAGCTGAACTGACTTACTGGTTTTTCTTTGAAGACATTTCGCTTCTCAACCAAGAAGCTTCTTCAGCTTCTTCATCCATGCTTCTTCAGAGCTGAAGAAGCTTCTTGGAGGAGAAGTGAAATGTCTTTAAAAAAAAAAAAAAACACCCAGAAAGTCCAGTTGCCTCTTGAAAAACCACATTTGGGATTTATAGCAATAGCAACAGCCCTTAGGCTTATACTTTACAGCCCTAAGCAGTTTACAAATGTCAGCCTTTTGCCTCCAACAATCTGGGTCCTCATTTTACCGACCTCGGACGGACGGAAGCTGAGTCCACCTTGATCAAACTCCTGGAGTGAGCAGTGAGTTCGCCTGCCGTACTCCATTTGGCAAGTGATTTTCCAGGGTGGGTGTCCCAAAAATCAAAATGGCACCTCTAACACAGGTTAAAGGGGTGAGGCTTTGAACAGGGGACTTGACTTTGTGGATCCTGCTGGTAAAACCGTAGCAACTTTTCTCTACAATAAGATGTATAGATATGATTTATGGATGTCTGTCTGACTTTCCTTGCTGACTAAGGTGATTCGCACTGTGGAAAAGGAGAAAGAAGTGGGCCAATAACAGTGTTTCCATGTCTTCCCTGTTTCTATTTTGGGGTCGTTTCCCCCCCACCCGCCAGTCTGATGCTGATTTTATTCTCCCTGCTCCTTGTGTCAGTGTGGCTCTTGGCTTAATTGCCCTTCCTTCGTGCAGCCAAGGCTGAGATCTTCTGGATTGTTGCTGAACCCTGTTGTGATCTCAGCTAGTTAAACCAGCTGTGTGGCCCCTGTCCGGGCAGCCACTGCACAAAAGGAACTAGAGGTGAATAGGGTAGCTGACAAGGAGGCTGTTGGAGAGAAGATGGATGGGGCAAAGCTGGACCCTTGGCTTGGAAACCTTGAAGCTAGTCTGTCTCGCCAAGTCCTTACTTATAAAATATAGTTGGAAGGGAACGTGGAGGTCTTCTAGTCCAACCCCCACTGCTCAAGCAGGAGACCCTATACAATTTGACACAAGTGGCTGTCCAGTCTCTTCTTAAAGACCTCCAGTGATGTTGCTTACATAAACTGCCTCTCCGTTAACCCTTATTACATTCTTCGCAGGACTAGACTTCCTGTCTCTGGAACGTCTCTGGAGTTTTTCCCCCCTCCTTTGCTGGTACTTTGCTTGTGTGGAGCGACCATTCAAAGTTACAATGGCACTGAAAAAAGTGACTTAGGACCATTTTTCACACTTATGACTGTTGCAGCATCCCCACAGTCATGAGAGGCCAGGCGAGGAGATGTGTGGCTCAATATGAGTGATGTTGAGTTGGCCACCCCCAGCCAGTCACATGACCACCAAGCCACGTCCACCCAGTCACATGACCACCAAGCCACGCCCACAGAACCGATTGTTAAAAAATTTGAATCCCACCCCTGTGTGCGACACCCCTGTGCATGTCCCATGCATGCACTTGTGTCTCCCATGCACCACGCCCCATCACGCATGCGCGGCAAATACCCAACAATCAGCTGGCTGGCTGCGTATGCGTGTGGACCTGATCTGGGGTGACAGCTCGTGTGCCAGCAGAGATGTCTCTATGTGCCACTTCCGTCATGTGGGCCATAGGTTCGCCATCACGGCCCCAGACCTTCTGATTCCTAGACTAACCACATCATAGCCTACACGAAAGGAAGTTGTGGAGAAAGAGGAGCAGGATCTCCAGACCTGGCCAAATGAGGAGATTTTCCCTTCCCACTGTGAGTCATTACTTGGGAGAAGCTCCATCGCCTTTCAATCTCTCCAGCAAAATAACACAAGGACTGGTAGGATGGAGCTGGCATTCCTCTTTGTGGGCGGCTTTCTTGGAAGCTTCTCTAGGGAGAAGGCGGAAAGCCAGCCCCAGGCCCTCTGTGTTTGGCTGTGTATGGAAATACACAACACAATTATAGTTAATTGGCTCCAATACAAAGTGCCACAAACACTTTACTAGTAAGCTGCTCAGTCATTGGCAGCATAAAAATGGAATGACTAAATAAAGCAAGACTCTGAAGGCAAGATATTGTGGAGAACAGAAGGAGGGGAAGAAAGAAGAAGAATCTGCTGGAATTGGGCGCATATAGAAAAAATGCTGTGAGGAGTTGAGTTAGAATGCTCCACTGAGTTGTTTTTTGTTTTTTTTAACGAACTTTATTCAGTTTTTCACATTAAAAACAAAAATCTCTTTTTAGTGGACAACATGTTTCCCGGTCATCACCTTTACATACAAACATGACAGCAATTATACGTTCATATATACATACTTAATTCTATTATTAAGTTTTCCATTCCAAATTTTCAGTAAGGAGAGAAACAAACACATTAATTCTAGCCTCTTCCATTAATCACAATCGAAACATCTTTTTGTTTCATTTCAATTATTTCAAATATAATCCTTTAATATTTATTTTAAAAATAAAGAAAAACAATATGTGTTTGCCTAATAATAATAATAATGATAATAATGATAATAATAATAATAAAAAGTTACCAATGTCTCTCCTTGCTTTTAATAGTCCATATTAACTTATTAATTTAGTTGGTTCTTTAGTCTGTCATATTCCCTTTCCATTACACATTCTTTTTATAAATTCTAGATTGATACAAATTTTAACACTAAAAAAAACCCAAGTATAGGTTTCCCCCCTTTTACTGTTTTGAGTGTGATACCTCAATGATTAAAATATACCTTTATTCCCTCATCTTAATTTCCCAATAGACCCTTATTTTTAAGAAGTTACAATAATAATCATTACATCTTTTCACTTGGATTCTGCAGCATATTTTCCCCCTTTGATTTTTAATAAGAGTTATCAGTATCTATATTACCCTATTTTCTAAATATTTTTAATTGCAGAAATATTCTTATTACCCCTTGTCACCCTGCAGAATCCCCTTTTTAATTCATCAACCATTATCTCTGAAAAAACAATTTGTTTTCAACATTTTACTGTTTCCGTATTTCTTTATTTCATGCACCTGTTTCTTACTGCTTCTCCTCCCCCTCTTTTCCCCATATCTTTTCTCATTCCAGTTTATATCCCTCTCTTTCTTAATGTCTTCCTTTCCCCTTTTCTGCTGGGTCTTTCTGCCTTTCCTGACTTCACAGGTATTCCCCCTTTTGATTGCCTTCTTAAATCTCAACTTTTTAACCTTCCTTCTTTCCCCACTTCTTTGTGGTGTTCTTTGTGTTAATTGTCTATTTAAAATGCCTTCTCCTTGAATCGACTCCTCCTCCTCTGAAGCTCTTTCTTCTTGTTCTTCAATCGCCATTTCCATTTTTTCTAACACAGAGCAAAGTGATGTGCCTCTTTCCTGTAGTAATTCTCTCATATTTTTAAGTTCCATTTTTAATTCCCGAAGAGATATTATCATTACACATTCTTATATTTTATGATCGTTAAAGTCCACACAAAAAAACACTTTTACTTTCCTTCTTTCTTCTTTCAATTTTCTAAAGTTCTCAGTTATTCCAGCTGAGGGTCTATACCAAAACCATCAATCAATCCCAAAGTCTTTCCTTGCTTTTTTCTTTATTCTGGTTCTGCTTTCACTTTCTAAGATTCTTACTTTGTTTCAATATTTTTTTAATGTTATATCCATACAAGTTCATTCAGAAACAGGATGCTTTCCTTTTTGCTTGAGCTCAAGTTTTTGTCAAAAGATGGCACTCTCCATTATACTAAGTCTTCACCTTTTCCCCCTATTTTTTTATTTAGGGTTTTTCGAACCTCAATATTCCAGCACAGTCCAGTCTCCAATTTGTAAACGTTATTATTATTATTTTTTGACAATCTTAAGTCCAGCTTTATTTTATGCCTGTTTATTCCCAAAATATTTTAGTCCAATTTAGTTAAATCTTGAGTTCCAGCTTCTTCCTTTCTCGGTTCAAAGCCCCGCTTAGCTGTCAAAAATATTTTCCTTTAATATAGTATTAGTTAACGTCCATCTAGATCTTCTTCTTTGTCCTTTCCATTTAATTGTCATTGGATTGTGATCTGCCCAAGCAGTCCAGTTTCAAAATATAAAATCATGTGTAGAAAACCCAGCAATGAGAAAAAAAAAAAAAAATTACTTTGACATTCCTGTTTAAAATCGCCGCTTAATCACTTCTGTCAAAACTTTTACAGATTCTTTCTTTTCCTTAGGGTGTCCTTTCAAATCTTAAAATAAAGAAAAAGTTCTCACCAAACCGGCACACTTTCTCTTTCTGTTCTCTTCCGTTTCGGAGCTGTCCCAACTTCAGCAGCTTTAATGGCTGCCTCTTTGCTGCTGGCAAGAAGAGCTTCTCCTGGATCTACCAGGGAGTTTGCGGTATCCCTGGGATCGACAGGATGCGCTCTTTACATTCACCGTCTCTTCGGGACGGTTTAGATCCGATTGGACCATCCAGGAGTAAAGATATCGGCAGCGATCTCAGACCTCCAAGATCGCATGCCGTATCATCGCGACGCTAGCTCCACCCTCAACCCTTCCTGCACAAATCCAGCT